AAAGAACCCGATGAATTGGTTGACACCCATTTACACGCAATGGGGCCAGGTTGGTATCATGATGCTCATCTACGCTTTCCTACCCGAGTCACCGTCGTGGTGCGTAACTCGCGGCTACGAAGAGAGGGCCAAGAAAGAACTTCGCAAGCTCAACTATGGCGTCAAAGACTACGACCTTGAGTATCAGTATCGGATCCTCGCCATGGCCATCGAACATGAAAAGGCCATCGCCGAAGAGCAAAAGAGAGAGCACTGGTACTCCATCTTCAGAGGTGTCGATGGCTTCCGAACTCTGATTTCGCTGTGGCCGAACATGACGCAGCAATTCATCGGCCTCACGCTTTTTACCACCTTCGGAACCTATTTTTTTCAGCAGGCTGGTCTGGACGACCCTTTCAAAATCAAAGCGATCACGTCCTCAATCAACATCACGACCCTTATCATCATCGTCTTGACAGCTGACTGGATTGGTCGACGAAGAATCTCCTGCTTTGCCACAACGCTTTCTTGGACATCCTGCGTTGCCATTGGAATTCTGGGCGTCGCCCCGCAAGTCAACGCAACATCGTATCTTTTCGTCTTCTTCACTTGTCTCTGGAGTAAGTTATTCTGACACAGGCCCCTTAAAGAAGCCAGCTTAACACCCGAAACAGACATTGGCATGATTTCCAACGGAGCAGCAGGTTGGGGATACATTGCCGAAACCTCTTCACTACGACTGCGACCCTATACCGCCGGATTTGGCGCCGCATGCACCTGCATCGCCGGAGTCATCATGAATGTGTTGACGCCCTATATGGTGAATGCCAACAAGTGGAACTGGGGATACAAGACGGGATGGTTCTATGCCGGTGTCGGCCTTCCCTTTCTCATCGGAATCTGGCTGCTTCTTCCCGAGACTGCTAGGTGAGTGAACCGAACACTTGGATGACGTTGATCGAAGCTAATGCGCAACTATAGCCGTTCTGCCGCTGAGATGGACGAATTGTTCGAGCGAAAGATTAAGCCCTGGCGATTCCACAAGACCGAGACTGCAACCCAGCGCCTTGTCAATGCCGAGCGGGAATAAATGGCGCAGACCCTGGAAAGCTACGTTGTTCTTCCAGGGCCGAGATCAAGTTGGAAGTCGACTTGCCATGTGCACACATAGTTGTTCCTAGGGGGAAGAAAGGCCGTAGTCGTTTGTCGAGGGTTGCAATAGCATTCACATGCTTGACATAAAAACCTCCTACAATGCAAAATTGGATCAATTGACATTTCATTCCCTGGTGTTAAATTTTAGATGACTCGTATGCGCTTGCTATCCTGATGTCGGGACGGTGTTCGTCTACTTGATCGCGTTTTCCCAAAATGCCACTTCGCTCCGTCACACCCTAAGTGCATCAATGTGCTTTTTAGCTAGTCACCATACGGTCGGAGGGAGTGAAAAGATGGCTGGTAGCATAACAGAAATGACAAGATCCGGGATTTATTTGACCATGACGCTTGATAGTTCGTCCGTTGATCGATCAATGTAATGCGGCCCGCTGGACCTGCCGCGTGTCTCAGGACGAGGGTGGTCCACCCCGATCGGTCAACCGCTGCTAATTGAGGTAGGCATCACCTGGACGAGTGCTAAGTATACTGATGGAGGTATTACATAGGCAATTCACGTACGGAGCAGCGCTAGGTAGTAATGTGGCTGCAACTAGACGTTGAGTCTCGAATTACACTGATCTTCACTAGGATAAAACTTCACTAACAGTCGTCCTCACAAGCAAGTATGCTGTTGACAAAAATGTGCCATTGAGCTTTGAATTATATTCTATATGACTTTCTGCACAGTTTCAAACTCCAGACCATGTTGAAGTTTCATCCAACTCCAGCACACCCTCAAGTACAATCTTTTGGCTACTGGGTCCTACCAACACCCGATACTTGCCCTTTTCGCAAACCCACGTGGACAGCTCTTCATCCCAGAAAGCGGTAGTAAACCGATCAAAGGGAATTTTAAGGCTTTTGGTAGCCCCGGGGGATAGAGACACTTTGGTGAAGCCCTTAAGCTCCTTTTTCGGCCGACCGATGGACGTTGTGGTTTCATCGGATGCAATATACAGCTGAACGACTTCTGATCCTGGCAGTGAACCTGTGTTTGTGATTTCGAGGGTAGCCGAGTCCGAGCTGATACTCAAGTTGGAATAAGAAAACGTGGTATATGAGAGGCCATGTCTACGCAACATGGTTAGCAGAAGCAACGGCTACGTTCAACTCCTAAGTTACTTACCCGAAGGGGTACAGCACGTCCCTCAGCACTTTCTCGTAGTACCTATACCCAACGTAGATGCCCTCGCCATACACGACTTGCCCTCTCTCACTTCCAAAATTCAGGTAAGTGGGGTTGTCTTCTAAGCGTCGAGGAAACGAAAGAGGCAGTCTCCCGCTGGGGTTGACGGCGCCAAACAGAACGTCAGCAATCCCACTGCCCGTTTCATTTCCACCGAACCAAGCATGTAGATGGGTCTTGACGCGATCGGCCCAAGGCAACATGTTGAACGGCGTGCCGCTTTGCGTGACAATAATTGTGTCTGGTACAGCGGCGAGTACGGCCGAGATGAGCTTGGAAGCAGCTCCTGGGAGATCCATGTGCGGGCGGTCGAAGCCCTCGGACTCTTGATCCTTAGATAGTCCGGCGCATAAGATGGCAACGTCAGCCTTTTTGGCCGCTTCCACAGCGTGGGCGATTGCTTGATCGGCATCAATGACCTCAACCATGCCTAGTCTTCCAGCGCCACCACCTAGATGGACCACACCGGGTTTCTGGAGCTTGGTCGATGGAGAACTGGCAAAGTCGACCTTGATCTTGTATTTTTGACCCTTGACAAGCGCCTTGACAGCCTTTTCTTCAAGGGTACCTTTGCCAAAGAAATACACTCCTGATCTTTGCACCGTGGTGTTATCAATGACAAGCTCGTCATCGATGTAGAGGTTGCCTGTGCCGTAGACAGCAAGGCCGAACTCAAAGTCGCCAGTCGCTGTTGCAATAAGGTCTCCCTCGACCTCTGCATAGAAAAGCTTCCCTAGCTTGGGATGGGAGAAACCCATGAGCTGCCATGTGAAACTAGGGATGATTGTTTCATCGATGACAGTCCTGTTCAAAACAGAAGGGGGTTCTGCGAAGAATTTCATCCGCACGCCGGGCTGGGCTTCGGGTGTAGTCACTTGGGACTTGTTAAGCATGGGAATGTAGCCGTGCGAATGAGCTCCAACTTCGTACTCGACTGCGATGTCTTCTGGTAATTGGTTCACAATTCCGTCGAAGAGTGATACAGTGTAATACGGTTGCAAGGAAGCAGAGCCTCCACCACAGAACTCGGTGTTCTTCATGTTCGGTCCAATAAGAGCAATGCTCTTGAAGGGCTTCGTAAGGGGTAAAGTACCCGCGTCGTTTTTGAGAAGAACCACGCTATCAGCAGCCAATTTGCGGTTCAAGGCTCTGTCTTCTGGTAAATCACGAGTACCCTCCTCAGCAGCCACTAGTATCTTGCTAGCCCTTTGCACAAATTCGAGCACATTGCGTGCCCTGGCATCAATAGTCGCTTTGCTGAGGTTTCGATTGGCGACGGCGGATTCTGCCAATTGACCACGATGTCGGGTAGCGCCTGGCATTTCCAGATCAAGTCCAGCGTTCAGGGCTTCAACTGTTGAGTACGTGCCAAACCTAGAGCCTTTAGCGATTTCCTTCGAGATTCTGAGCGCAGGTACTCACCAATCACTCATAATAAGACCCTTCCACCCCCACTCTTCTCGCAACACGCCGTCTAGAAACTTCTTGCTTTGAGACACATGGGTTCCATTGACTCTGTTGTAGGACGACATGACTGCACCAGGGGAGGCATTGCTGATGGCGATCTGGAAAGGAAGCATGTGAATCTCTCTTAACGCACGCTCGCTCACTACGGCGCTCACGGCGGTTCTTTCATGCTCCTGATCGTTAGCCACCCAGTGCTTGATGGCAGAAATGACACCTGTGGATTGGGCGCCGTTGATGTATGCAGCAGCGAGCTTTCCAGTAGCATATGGATCTTCTGACATGGACTCGAACCCGCGCCCACCGAGAGGTGATCGTTGGATGCATACAGTAGGGCCCAGCCAACAGTGAGCGCCCTTTGCTTTGCACTCCTCACCGATCAAGATGCCAGCCTCGTACAAGAGTTCCTGGTCCCAAGTCGCCGCGAGGCCTGTTCCACATGGCAGGCAAGCTGCCGAAACGCCGTCGAAGAACTTGGTGCCACGCACACCATTGGGGCCATCACTGAGTCTGATCGACGGAACATTGAACCTCGGAAGTGGCGTTGTGTGCCAAAAGTCCTTGCCTATTTCCCCGCTCCAATATTAGCTAAGGTGAACTTAGGGGAGGCTAGTCACACTCACCTGCTAGCAAGGACACCTTCTCCGGGATGGAGGCATTCCGAAGAACGTCCTCGACATCGAAATTGCTAATTGGTTCGTTCGTCATCGTGTGAATGTTTAGCATTGATTACAGCGCATGGACAGGTGACGGTCCTACCTTCATGGTGAGCGGCATATAAATACAGGGCCATTGACGACTCCGACACCGCACCATGGCATCGCGGAGCTTCCGCGACAGAGTGCGGGGGGGTGGTTTGGGACATGACGCAGGTTCAGGGCGTTTAGAAGCCCTTCGGGGAGCGCCGAAGAAACATTCTTGTGTTGGATCTAATGTGGACAAGCGTGCGAGCGATCGGGGAAGCTCCGCGATGGATAACCAACCCTGGGTGGAGCGGAGAACGTCCCAAGCACCCGCTATGGAATAGCCTACTCACGGTGAGTTTGTGAGCGTCTCAATGTTTATCCGCATGGCATCTCAAGTTGAGGCATACTATCGAGTGCTGGCCTTGATATAAAAGCGTACAAAGCCCCGATTTGGTGATGACCTTCAACAAAACTTGCCCACTTTTCCTATATAAGTTCAAACATTTAGGCCGACATCCATCAAACAAGGTCGCGTGGCCCAATGGCAAGGCGTCTGACTACGAATCAGGAGATTGTGGGTTCGATCCCCACCGTGACCTAAGTTTTCTTTTTGCGTTGGTGATCATTTTTGGAGTTTCGTTGATAATGGTGTGGTTAATAAATCGAGCCTGACTGAAGAAATAAAATGGCAGGTAAGCAGTATTATTCATGCCCTTAATTGTCCTTTTTCGCCTAGTAATAATTCTTTATTAGGTATAAGCCCAAGATGGCACCTCAAGTTCCCAGTTGTGGTGTCACGGCTAGGTAGCCTCGGGACACTTATCTATTCACTTGAGTTCAATACACAGCCATGTGAGCTCATTCAAATTGAATACTGCACAAGTTGAACATATTGTATTGCTTATTCCAAGATAAGTCAGCGACTAATTTAACTTTGCACTCCATCACCACCTATCGTGAATCCAACTACTAGTGAGGTTGCTCCAGATACCATCCGCGATAACTCGCCAATTCACCACCTGACTAGAATTCAACATCTTGCTCATCCACACCATAGCAATGGCTTCCAACAATGGAGATATAGAAGTTCGAATAGCCGCTGCAATTGAAATGGTTGCCCAAGGGACCCCCGTCATCACAGCAGCTCGATCACAGGGTATCAATCCTTCCACCCTCCGCTATCGGTATAAAAGGCGGTCGGCCCAACGCAGTCGTCAATCGAGGGGCCCAGAAGTTGAATCCTGCGCAAGAGCAGGAGCTTGCGGGCTTGATGGTATGTGAGAAAGTAGCGGGAAACATGTCCAACAAGGGGACGGCACGCCGTTCAGCGCAGCGCATCACTTTCTTCAGCATTATCATTTCCAAGGTCAGCAAAGAATTCGGCCGCAGGAACGCCATGCTCCTCGACCTTGAGGCCAAATGCGCCCGTCTTCAGAACTTAGTTACCGTGGAAGAAAAAGCAAGGCAAGAAAGTTATCCAACAACTGAATTGTGATGCCATAGTTCGAAGGATAACGGGCCCTAGAAAACTAAGTTTGAGAGTGCAACTGGTATGGAGGATCACAAACGAGGGCTCAGCCAATAGAAGTATGCATTGGAATGTGCGTGAGTAGTAACAGGCTGTACTTTGGCGTCTTGTTGCGCAACAGAATTAGATACAATATAGTTTACAACCGCTTGGTGGATGAACCGCAAGGTGACGGGGACTAAGGATATAAGACGAGTAAATAATGTACCATAAATTGGTTAGCAAGGAACCGTAAATGGGAAATAACGGTTCACTAATTTATACGAAGTAATTCACTGTGACTTAGGTATCCACGATCGCGATATGAATCATCTACCAGTTCATTCTCTCTGGGATAACTCGAGCTATTCGCCGTCCCCTATCCACTTTCTTTTCCACCACTTCCTTTTGCCCGCGTCCCTGCCAGCTTTTTCATCTTTCGAAGGCGCGGGACGGCTCGTTGCAGGACGAAGGTAGCGTATTCTCCATGTCCCAGCATCAAGGAGCAGCCCCGTACCTTGATCTCTAGATACTCCTTCCGCTCCTTGGCCTGCTCCCCAATCGGGATGATAATGCCAGCATATCGACAAAGGATGGCGTTGAGTATCATGCGACACATCCGGCCATTGCCGTCTTGGAAGGGGTGGATAGAGACGAATTCGAGTGAGTACTTGGCGGCGAGGGAAAACGGATCGACCGTATTCTGCTCCGCGGCAGTAGCCATATCTGACTTGAGGCTACCGCACATCATCTCCATCTTGGCAGGGATAAAACTTGGCACCGTAAAGTTCGTTGTGCCGGCAATGACAATGACACTTCGATATATGCCGTCGTACTTCTCAGGCGGGACAATTGGCATATTTGGCTCCACAATTGGAACGCCCTCTGTGAGAATGGCGTGTGTTGCTTTGATCAGGTCCTCGGTGAGATCCTGCTTTTCGATAACAAACTCATGAATCAGGTGCTGATAGGCCTTTGCATGCTGCACAATCTCGTTCCGCCCTCTGAGAACCTGCTCGATGGGCTGGCGTGGAAGATCAGCCTGTTGCTGGCACAAATCGAGATACACTTCCTGGCACGAGGCGTCCTTCTCGGACACCGCCTCGATATGCTCTCCAGCGAATACTCTTCTGCATAGGTCCTCAGTGATGTACCAACCAAGGCCTGCCTGCTCAATCATGTTGCTTCCAAAGATGGCTCGTATCATATTTTCGAGGATTTCGTTGACGATGAGGGCCTGTTGGGTGTTGTTGGGGGCGGCTTGCATGGAGGTATACCAAGTTTTTGCTTTGTAGAAGACCTTTTGTGAATCTTGAATGTATGGATTGTATACATCATCGGCGAAAAACAACATCTGCCGATCTTGCGCGGTGTGGCGAGACTGGGGAGGCCATCCCTCGGAGACGGCTGCGCGAAGAGCTTGTGCCGTCGCAAGTTGTTGAGACATGGTGGAATGGCAGTGCTAATTTAGGCTTAAGGACCGTTGGAAACGAATATGAATGTGAGCAGTGAGAAAGATTCGTAGGTAGAAGGAATTAGTGGCGATCAGGTTTGCTTTATGCTCTGCTTTTATACCCTTCAGAATGTAGAGTTTTCTCTCAAGCCTCTTAATTTCACTCCCTCCTGGGTCCTGCGCTGTCAAAGTTCTTCATCCGAATATCCTTTACGGTGTTCAAGAGTCGAGTCAGCGACATTTGAGAGTAAAAGGTTAACAATTTTGACCACGCGTTTTGGGGCCACGGAGGTTAATTACTGAGGATGGTGACTCAATTGCGCATTTATCCGAAGTAACTTTGCCATAAAGTTTGGAAAACCACGAATAATAAATGAGTGGCTCATCTCTTACTTCTCAGAACTCCTGCTCCAACATTGATTTAGGAAAGTCGTACAAAAACACCCCGCCCTTCCGATCTCTTCGGAGCTGGCTATAAATCCACCGAAGTGGTCAGCATGATCGAGAGGACCTCGCACACCGAAGCTGATGCCAAATCTCAGAATGATTCTCACACAGGGCAAGTTTCGCTGCAGATTTGCTGCGACAGTTGCCGTGGCAGCTATGTCGCCCCTGTCGCCCTGTGAGTCTGCGTGGAGGGCGATATTAGCCCGCAACCTGTCAGTCGCGACCACAGCGCACTTTTTAGGTCCAAGGTAGATGACAAGAACATGAAAGCAAAAGGCCTCCGCCTCTGGATGTTGTCGGGTAAGGGGAAGGTACCCTGAGACATTTATTTGGAGTATGCCAAGCACGGATGACCCAAAATGCCTCCTCTAAAACCTGGACTATGCATTTTGGAATTGGATAATCGGGGCCGCAGTACCGTTTGCTCGGCCTGATCCATACATTTGTTCCTAGCCAACAACTGATCTTCGGTGACGCCACTGAATAAACGATTACATTTGTGCTTGTCCGGCTGAGGGAGTGGCTGAACAGGCTGTAATTTAGGACCCCAATGCCAAGGATGCCTGGACTTGGCTTTGACGCGTGTAGTTACATGATTTGTTCTGCATGTGCACTTATATACTCAGGGAGAGATAGCCCTACGCCCGTCAGCCGAAATACGAGATCCGCTGCAGATGAGCGCTTAATTGATGCGGCTGAGATTGAGACAGGTCTAGGATGCAGCGGGTATGATACGCAGGGAGAGCGTCGAGGTTAGTCTAAGAACGTCGAGTCATCAACACTACCATTGTCCAGCCAGGGCTGGTAACTAAATGAAACCCGTGGGCTGTACAGCTTGAGCAGATCACCTTTCATATGAGAATGCAGTGGACATCGTCATAAGAGAGCCTTCCAAAATATCGTGGTGTTGGTTTGGCAGGCATACCGTCGTGGGAGTGCGTTTACCGTCCAGCTACATCAGGCTGAAGAGGGCTTCTCAGTAAAATTGGTGGCGGAATGCCCCTGTGATCGTTTTTGCTTTTGTCGGCTACCGACATGAATCAGGCTGGCACTGCCTCTACGCCATGCATGATGCGCCCCAGGAGAGTCTTCATTGCAAATTTAGCCCATTTGCTTGACACTGGTATGACTGTCAGGGAGCCGAAGGCTGCCTCGAGTCACCGTCTTAATAAGAGCTAGCCTCCCTCAAGCATGAAGGGCAACTATTCTGTGGCGCCTCTAGTTCTGCCAGTATTCGTTCGTTCTTTTTCCTGCATTCTGACCAACAATACATGTCTATATTACTCTGGAACCGCAAGCGACATGGCAGCTTACCGAGGAAGACGGCATCAACAGTGGATGCAGCCGAACAATCGGAACGACGATCCTGAAACGTACGAATTAGACACTAACAGTCATCCTAATCTGACCCCAGGTATTGAACGCCGCAATGCCGGCGTCCACCCAGGCGTTGGTCAGCCCTACATCCACAATGAGGGGATCGAAACCTCGACGAGCCAACTAACGGACGATACTCGAGCAAGGAGTCAGACAAGTTAGTTTTAAACCCAGCCAATAACTCATCCCACAACTTCAGAACTCTGACACTGTAAAAGCGACCTCAAGCCGTGTTACATGGACAGCTTTAGACTTCCAGGACCTGACCCGAGAAGATCAGCGTAGGTGTCACCGGCTAGACTTTCGTTTCCAGTCGCTTAGAAACGGTTGGCTCATATCCTGGTGCATCCTGAACTTCATCGTCCTATCTACATTGATTTCCCTGCCGGTCATATACACAAAGAACCCCTCGGCACTTCACATCCGCAAGAGCAATGTGTACGGGAGAAACGCCTCCCAGTATGTCACATCTATCAACTGTTGAGACTGAAGATAAAGTCTCAAAGGCTCGGATCTCTAATAAACCGGTCTCAAAGACCCGGCTTCCTAACAAGCCGGTCTCGAAGACCCGGATCCCTTGGGATCCGGTCTACCGAGAACCTTATCATAGCTATGAGGGCAACCTACAAATAGGTCTGCCGCGAGCCCTCAGTTAGATAGAAATCAAGAGCTTCTACTTACATCACAATGCACCCTTCCTATCAGATGCAACAGTTATGAGCCCGGTTTGCCTATAGCTGAAGCGGACGATATTCTTTGATCAAGCTGTATCATCAGACCCTTATCAAACCTATCTCCCTTCCTTCCTAGCCTAG